TCTTTTTGATGGCTGAATAACACTCCCTTGTGCATATGTGCCACTTCTTCTTTATTCATTCATCTACTGATGGGTACCTTGGTTGCCAATAAACATAGAGGTGCATATATCTTTTTGAACCAGGGATTTTGTTTTCTTAGAGTAAATTCCTAGACGTAGAGTCACTCAGTTGTATGGTATTTCCATTTTTAGTTTTTGAGGAAACCCCAAACTGCTTTCCACAGTGGCTGCTTCAATTTACATCCCCATTAACAGTGTAGGAGGGCTCCCATTTCTCCACATCCTCACCAGCATTTATTTCTTGTCTTTTGGATAGTGACCATTCTAACTGGTGTGAGATGATAATCTCATTGTGGCTCTGATTTGCATTTTCCTGATGATTAGTGATGTGAACATCTTTTCATGTGCCTTCTGTATTTATTTCTTAGAAAAATGTCTGTTCAGATCCTCTATTTTTTAGTTGGGTTATTTGTTTTTTTGGTATTGACTCATATGAATTCCTTAATATTTTCGATGTTAATCCCTTATCATATAATCCATTTACAGATATATTCTCCCATACTGTAGGTTGCCTTTTTCTTCTGTTGATGGTGTCCTTTGCTGTACAGAAGCTTTTTAGTTTGATGTAGTCCTACTTTTTTTTTTTTGTTTCCCTTGCCTGAGGAGATGGGTCCAGTAAAAACTGCTCATGCTTATGTTCAAGGTATTTTTGTCTGTTTTCTTCTAACAGTTTTATGGTTTCATGTCTTACATTTAGATCTTTAATCCATTTCAAGTTTACTTTGTGTATGGAGTTACACAGTATTCCCGTTTCATTCTCTTGCACATAGCCATCCAGTTTTCCAAATACCAGTTGTTGAAGAGGTTGTTTTTTCCCCATCATATATTCATGGCTCCTTTATCGTATATTAACTGACCATATATGCATGGGTTTGCATCTGGGCTCCAATCTATTCTTCTGATCTACGGGTCCATTCTTGTGCCTGTTCCATATTGTTTTTATTACATTAAGGCATTTTCTAAGCTTAATAATCCTGAGGTGATGATTTTTTGGGGGAAATGTGTGCAACCTTTCATTTCTACTAGATTCAGTAGAGTCCTAATAATTCTTGAAGTGTAGTTCTGTGGCAAAACTGGTGAGTAATCACACTTTTACTAGGTCATTGATATTCCAGAGTATATTCCATTGATATTCTAAGTATTTTTAGTAATAGATACTGTTATCTCAACTTGATTTCTTGACCTTTGTGGAGAACATTGAATTTGATGTCACACTGCTCTCTTCCTTGGGTTCTTTGGCTCAGGCAAGGTCATGAAATTTCCTAAGCTTGTTTTTAAAAATGTCCTCTATAGTGTCCTCTGCATTGCTGAACCTGCTGTCAGATTCCACTTGCTCAATGCAGAAGGAAAGTAGAGATAGCATGTAGGAGACTCAGAGCGCGCCTAGCAAGGTCTCTGGTGATGTGACCATTTCTATTATTTGTGATAGAAAAACCAGTAGAAAGAACTTATACAGCAAAGCTAAAGTTCGTCAGATACAAACAGTATACAGACAAACTTGAAACAGCTTCTGAGTCTCTAAACCATGTGTTTCTCTAGCTTGCTTTCCTTTGACCACTTATGTTACTTTGAGTTCCTGATTTCAGAAATATTTTGAAAGGAACCCAAATTAATTCTGACTTTACCATGACCTAAGAACTCTTTGTAATTATACCTTCTACATTAAATCCATACTAGCACTCCTCAGAAAACCTTTGTTAGAGACCTTCCAGTCACCTTAAAGGTAAATTAATGATGTTCAACAGTAAGTTAAAATCTTATCAGAAATGAAACTGTGGGTGATGGAAAGAAACTGGAACACACATAAGTGGGAGAATATGCCATAGCAATGATTCACACTTGTGTATATGAGATGGAGTGATAGGTGCATATGACTTGATAGAACAAAGCTTTCAATGTGGCTGGCAAAGACAAACCTCTGCCATTATTTTCTTATAATTTAAAATAAAATTGACAAATCAATTCAGTCAAGAAATCAAGAGTTGAATGGTGCCCATATGAAAATGTTCAAAGTCTTTTCTGTAAAGCAAGCAGCTTTTAATTTGCCTGTGGTACCTATCCCTGTTCTTCAAACTTCATGTGCTTTCCTCCAATTCTAATAGAGGACTCAGCTTTTTACATGTCTGACATTCCAGTTAGTGTCCTAATCCTTTTGGGAGTGAACAGAAGAGGCTCACGGAGTATTGATCTTGACAGATGTCTCCAGATGAGGTTTTTAAAATATTTACTAAAATTAGAAGCCCAGTCCACTCTGACAGTAAAACTTTCCTAATGAGTATTCTTTTTAATTTTAGTGATCTATCTCCTTCTAAAAATGCACTGTGAACTTGTGATTTTTGATAAACTAATAAAAGGCTAAAGTTATTGTAATTTAAACCCATTGTCAGTTTATGAATTATATTGTAGTAAGCTCTAGAAGGGAAGGCATAGTCTTGTTCCTTGTAGGTTCTCCAATGTCTAGAATAGTATTTGGCACACAATAGATGTCAAAAAATATTTACTGAATGAGTTAATGTTATGTATATTGTGTTTTCATAGGTAATATGTTTCTATTACCACATTAAGAATATTTTATTTCTCATCTCAAACTAGTTTCCTGCAAATCCAAATGACTAAGAACATATAACAGCAGTTTAAACATTTCCTGTCATATTACTTGACAACCTGTAGTTAAATTTTTTCAGTATTTTTAATCAGTTATTAAGCTTTAGTAATCTTATCAGCAAAGCACTACATAGATCTAAACAGTGTTACATATGTAACCATGCCAACTATACCCAACTAGTTAAATCACATACATACCAAAACCTGGCAGAATAGGAGCACTGTGCCCTAGACTGAGGCTAGCAGGGGAGCCAGACCCAAAATTCCTCTGGAGTTGTGACAACACTTTATATATCCAGGGAAACTTAAGAGATCTGATATACAGAATTCAAGAAAAACATACCTGAACTTTTCATACTGGCTATATGTTGGCTTTAATAATGTCAACATAACATGTCCAAATGGATATACCTATATTACTCTTCTATCTACCATCAAGGGCATTTTTATGTCTTTGTGTTCTCCCCGGTACTTAGTTATGAGATACAAAGAAAAGACTAGCTTAAATTAGTCCCAGGCAGCAAACTAAACTATCTGTAGTTTTATGGGATTAAAAAGAATCTTGGGGGCATCCCTAGCCTCCTTTCAGTTATGACTGGAATACAGTGGTTATTGTAGCTCACATTTAGAAACTCATTTTAGGCAAAGAAAACTCAATCATAAAATGTAAGAGTTATGAAATTACAAAGTCATATCATTTCACCTATCCCCAATCCCCAGATCTTGACTGTATGGCCTAGAAATATTTGTCAAAGAGAAAAGAGTTAGAGCATCTCAGAAAATTACAGGATAGTCCAGGGTTGGTGACGACAGTGGGGGACACGCTCGCAGGGAGTCATGGAGCCGAGCCCAAGTGCTCAGCTCCCCGTGAGGCCAGATGGAGCCCCGAGAGCTTTCAGGGCACAAGAAAAGGACAGAAGACGCCAATCGGAAGTAGAAAATCAGAACTCATTTTAAAAACTTAAAAGTCAACTACTACATTTTTTCCAGTTGAGCCAGTTGGATAGAATAAAGGCTACCAAAAAGATTCTAGAATTTGAGATCATAACCTGAGCTTGATAGTGTGGTAGCATATCAAGGGTGTGCTTGAAAATATGGCCATCTGAGGATGCAAAGCCAAATTTTTAGTACTGTTACCCTGAGAGAGGACAGAACTGAGCAGCCTGGGAGCTGAGCATGGTGAATCCCAGTGGAGAATCCAAGCCTCTGGATGACGCACAGGAACCCCAGGAGCCGCTCAGGCTCCTCCTGCGCTTCCCACCCTCAAAAAACACTGGAGTGGTCAGATCAGACTGGGGAGCGAGCATGGAATGAAAGTGACTGGCAGATAGGCAATTATGTACCTACAGGCGGCCTTTTAAGGCCAGGGCTTTCATCCTATCACCCCAAATCCCAATAATTTCACTTTATTCAGATTATCTCTACTTTGAAGCAGGCACTATAGGAAAAAGTCACAAGCATCACATGGAAAAAAATCTGAACAACAGAAATGAACACTCATTAGTGATGCAAAAAAAAGTCAATTCTTAAAAGAGCTTCTAATTTTGAAATTACCTAATCTGGGAGTTTAAATGTAATGCTGTTCTCATATTAAGATGAAAAAAAAAGTACTATTTCTAAAACACCTAACAAAGAGGAAACCACCTAGCACTGTTTTCACAAAAGAATATCCCCACTTAAATTTCTAATCTTGTGTCTAAGTTTATAGTTATTTTCTCCAAATGCAGTTTTTAAAAAGCATTTAGTATTTTCAGGATATCTTATTACCTTGTATGGTTCTTCTTAAAGTCAATGACACCATTTTCCCTTAGGAACTTTTAGGAAGGGTTCCCCAAAGATCATAATGATTCAATCAAAACTGAAGAAAACTGATAACTTCCCTTCTGAAGAAAGTTGTACACAGAGGTATCTTAAAACAGTTTGAGATGAAGATAGGGTCTTAGGTTTTCTTCACAATCAGCCTATTAATTTAAGTGAGTCTGTTTTCCCAAAATGATATTTCAACCTCTTTGGAAGGGTGGCACATTTTAAAGTGTAAGACCTTAAGGGTCATCATACTGTCCAGTGTTGTGTATTTGGTAACCAGGACCAAGGGTCTTGTGCGAAAGGCAAACACTGATAGCTCCAGTGGCTACTGCTGAACTAAGGAAAATGTCCCAAACTATGTCTGTCTGCGTTTACCCCAAAAAGGGTATGTCACGGTAAATTCTATCAGTAAAGAACATATGCAGACAATTTTCCCCCTGAAAATTAAATCCAGCTTTCAGTTAGTAAAATCTTGGTGGAACAGCATTTATGACATGTTTAAAGGAAAAAGGTTATCTGTTGAAACAGAGTGGAATTAGGCTTAGGGTCCAACCAAAAACAAAAGAAGAAAATGACTGACTGATTCAAGAGCAGCCATCCTTGACATACTGGTAGCCTAGCCCAACAATTGGAGTTGACTAAGCATGCCAAAGATTTAACAGGATACAAAGTTTGCCATGGAATATATATGCCTTAATGGTGTTTAAAAATAGAGTGGGCTAATAAAACAATCAGTAGTCAAATCATAAGGACTAAAAGGAATATATATATGGAACATAGAAAATGAGGAGAAAGTACTGAGTCTTTACTGTATGCCAGCCTAAAAGAGTCTCCTCAGGGGAAAATGCATCTCAGTCCTAACAATGGAACATCATCTCTAAGATTCTTTCCCGCTACAGCTTGGATGACCTTAGTTCCAGTTTTCCCTGGACAGTGTTGGTTTATTCCTGTTGTCCCACTTTATAACAGTACTTACTCTCTTTCAGTCTGAAAAATATCTCCATTTGGACAGTAACTATCTGGTCATTCTACCCAACTCTACTGGTTACCCCAAAACATTATTTTGAACAATCATTTTTTCCAAGAAAAGTTTCAGGCATAATAAAGTTTCAGTTTCGAGGGGAAACATCAAGAATTGGTATAGAAGAGAGAGACTTCCAAGTACAAAATAGGTGACTCCTGACTGGCTATCAGTAGTGCCGTCAGAGCCGCACTGGAAAACCAGGTCATGGTTGAGAAGGTCTTTGTGGAGGCAAAGAAAGTAAGGTCACCTGAGGAGGGGGAAAGTTCCTACTCCAGGCTGGTGCTGGAGGGTGCTCGGTCAACACTGTGACACTCCCAGTTAGTGTCTCAATTGTTTTGCTACAAGAGCCAAACACCCTGAAAAAAGCTCTAGCGTTTCGGCTTAGGAACAGCACCTCCATGAGAGCAGGTCGTGGCTGTAGCAGGTGTTCTTGGTTTAAGAGATCAATGAGAGGGTCAAGTTCATAGAAAAGAGCCTCTCTCTGAAGCCTAAAATAATCTAAGAAGTCAGCAGGTACTAAAAGCTGTTGAGTTCGTAAAAAAATCTAAGATAAAACTAAAGACACCATCTCTGTCTACAAAAAACTGGCCACAAACCGTCTTGAATTCCTGGTCTCTGCCATCTAACACTGTGTCAAGCAAGAAGCAGATAGGACAGCATTAGTGTTTAGCTGATTACTTTGTACTTTGTAATAGCTGACAGACTGTTTCACCTATTGTCAAATTAGTCTTACTCTTCTTAAAAAAACTCTTAAGGGAGTGGATCTGTTTGGTTATACAGTTGCTGTGATACTTTGTAACAGGCAATACCCAGCTTGCAGTGAGGCGGTATTCCCATTTCCTGCTCTCACCAGGTTAGATTTTATTTTTAGCCCATGCCTTTGCTTGCACAGCCACCTAACATTTTCAGTTTATCACCACATCCCTTTGGTGACAAATTTAAAGACCTAAGGAGAAAACAGCAAGCTGAAATCTCCACCCTCCTAAAAATGTAAAGTTACCACAAGAAAATGCTAGTTTGTTTATATTTTAGTGGAAAAAGTAATCAGATCCCCACCTCCCAAAAATTTGGAAATCCAGTCCCTATCTTTTTTAAAGAATGTTCACTCTCCAAAAAAAAAAGTTGCTTTACAAGGGTCATCTTTATTATATGCTTAAACGAGTTACACAACCTCATCAACACAGGGTTACATCATGTGCTCTCGCCACCCCTTTTTCATAGCATAAACACAACCAATATTGGATACTTGCTTATTTCAAAATAACTCTAAAAAGGAAAGGGGTCAGGACTGTACTATTAAATTTCATTTTTCCTTTTATGCTCCCTAATTTGAACAAAACATGTAGGACATTATTTTTGAAAGGAATACTTCTGAAGGAAAACATCTAACTGGAATCCTGACAAAATCTATACTACTACTCTACTCTCTATTGCTAAGAAAAAGACAGAGAGCTGTGTACTTGAAACAGATTTTATAATAGTTCATATCTGCACAGAAATTCTGCCATACTGTTCAGCACCACCAAAGTAAAATTCTTGAATCTTTCACTGAAAATGAAAAACCCTTCTGTCACCTGTTCCCAGTAGAGAACTGACTGTTCTACAAAATCAGCTGGTTTAGCCAGATAGGAACTGAAGTTTGAGAGCTGGTCTTTCAAAGTTACAAAGTCATCAAATAAAGACCATTCTGGGACTATGGTGGGACCAAAGAAAATGAGAAGGCCGAGCACAGCAACTAGCACAGATAACACATAAAAGCTCCTGGGAATCTTGCTAATGAATGTGCCAGTGTCTTGAGGCAAAGAAAGTTTATCCACATCGACTAGTTTTATGTCTTCCCACTGACTGGTATCAAAGTTCTTCATTAAAGGGCTTGTGGGCAAACTGGAGGGAGGCAAAGGAGTTTCCTTGATTACTTTTAGTTTCTCCCTGAATTCTTGCATCTGTTGCAGAAATACGATGGGTTCCGAGACGTCTTTGAAAGCCTCAGCAATGTTAAAGGCCATTCGCTGTTCCTGCAAGATGGTGTTGAGTTTGTTGATCTCTGGGTCGTAGGCTTGCATGACTGCAAGCTTCATGGTCTCAAAGTCAGACAGGATTTCATTCTTTTTTTGATCTAAACTGTGTTGTAACTTCTCAAAAAACTCCTTCACTTTATCTGAATCTTTAGTCAGCAACTGTAGAGATTTCCTTTTGCTAGTTTCCAAGGTATCCAGGCGAGAGAGTGCATCTCCCCGACGCCAGGTCTCAAAGCTCTGGAAGAGAGACTCAAAGGCACCCCTTTCCTGAGCATAGGCATCTTCGATAGAGCAGAAAACATGCCTGGTGTGGTCACCACGGGTAGCACAAATGCCACAAATCAGCTGCATATCGCTCTGGCAGAAAATGTTGAGAGGCTGCCCCAAGTGTCTCTTGCACACTGGCATTTTGGGAGAGATCTTGATCTTGTTATACTTTTCCACAATACCCTTCAGGGAATAATTAACCTGCAGGCTATTGACTCCAGTAGCTGAAGTTTCCTTTCGGCATGTGGGGCACTTGAATGGAGATGATCTCCACAGTGAATTCCGCACATTCCCCTCTAAGATCCCTTCTAAGCATTTTTTGCAAAAGTTGTGTGAGCAAGGCAAAACTCGAGGGTCATCAAACAGACTGCAACAGACTGGGCACGTGAGGTCTTCTTCAAGTAGCTCCATTGCGTCCTACCACAGAAAAACACACACACTTTTACTCCAATGACTCCTCCACTCAGATTATGTAATAAATAGAAGGCAAAAAAATATCTTTCACTGAAATAACCATGCAAAGAAAGGAAGTAAGTGAGAAATCTGGGAAGGGAATGCACACCAAAGCAGATGTCATCTGCTGGGACCAGAACATGCTCCTCACTGGTAGAGCTCCCTGTACACAAGGCCTTTGTGCGGGCTTTCCAACAACGGACTGTGGCTGAGACAGGGTTAGGGCTACGACAACTGCAGACTGACCGAGCAGGACCCGCATGATTGTTGTAAAACAGAGCTGTCAGAAACAAAGCTGCTCTGTGTCTGAACAGAATGAGCTCTTTAGCCTGGGCCCACAATTATAAAATGGTATGCCATTTAAAAGAAAGCACAGGAATATAAATCCAAGCATATTCTCTCTGGCAGGCTTTTATTAAAATCTGACGTTTTACTGTTTCAAAAGCAAGATTACGGTTATTAAAATAATAAGTGAAAAACATGAGAACTGCAGTTCATTCTACCCTAGAGAATTAAGTTTCCTTTCTTTAAGCCACAAGAAAACTAATCACAGCCATCTTGTACCAGGTAGACCATCAGGTCTCAAAGTGTGCTGGGCAAAAACCTGGGTGTCCTGAGGCTTTTCCGGGGAAGCTCTGAGGACAGTACTTTTTCCGTAATACCGAGGTGTTCTCTGCTTTCGCACCATGTTGACAAAGGCAGTGTAAAAGCAATGTGGGTGCGCTGCAGAGCCTGGGCAGGGGCCAAACACAGCAGCAGGTAGGACAGGGCGGCAAAGTGTGCCACCGGTCACCATATCCCACACCACCAGCCCCACCGAAGGATGTTCTCCAGGGAGCAGGACAAACTGCCCATCTTATTACACCCTGCACCTTGTGCACACATCTTTTCAGTATTCTGACAAGTGAGGAAGTAAATGCAAAGCATCCCTGCTACACCCCAGCAGGTTCTGTCTCGGGGGCAAGCACTTAGCGATCATGATGCAAGTTGAACCAGCAACTTTTATTATGAATGCCATTCTGACTTGAAAGCCTGGTACCTGGCAGATGCTTTCTTGATAGTGAGCAAAATAAGCCTATTGCTGCAGGAAAAGGTGGCAATAATAAAAGTTGAGGTACTGGTGAAAATTCGAATTTTGTAAAAAATGATTTGCCATTTAAGAGCTTGATAGCTTTTTCCCATTAATTAAAGACCTTCTTAATGAGATAGGGGCTGATATTTAAAAATGTTTTTGTCAGAGAGATTATACAATGAAATATGTGAATATTTGGAGATCTGCAAAGCACAATGAACTAACTGATTCAAATCACTAATACATGTTATGAATCATGTATGCATAAAAGATCAAAAAGGCCAATGTGTTGAAAATGATTCCAGATTCTATACTGCAACTACCTTTTAAGAAACTACCACCTTGTTGAGCTTTGGTATAGTATCAAAATTCACCACTGTCATAAAAGTCCATTGAAATATCCCGTCACCAACTATACCTGTGCAAGGCCAGATTTGATTTTCTTTGTATATTTCAACCAAAATAATGTATGGCAACAGGTGCAACACAGTAGATCAAAGACTCCAGCTGGTATTAAACACATCTATAAATGTGTGAAGCAATGCTACTCTTCTCCCAAATGTTTTTGAAAAATAGCTATTTTCCACAAATTATTTAGCTTAAATGTAATACATTTATCATTGTTATTTTGAATGAATCAGTATATTAATTTAAATGAATATCTTAAAATATTTTGCCCATCACCTATAATCCAGTGAGTATCTACATTGCAGTACATAGGTATACCAAACCTCTTGGGATACTCAGCTTTTAAGTGTAAAGGGGTCCTGAGATCAAAACATTTGAGATCCCTGATCTAGAGAATACTGTTTATCAAGAGTTTATTATTTTGAAATGTACATTTTAAAACTTCCACCCCTGAAGTTTTAAAACCAAAAATAGGCTAACTTTAACATCCTCATTCATTACATCATAGTAATATAAATATATATAGAATCACATTACCACCAAATAAATAAACGTATAAAAAAGGGTCTAATAATCTGTAGGCCATCTTATAGTAAAACATAACTGAATTTTTAACAGTGATTTTAAGAATTACAATTGGAGCCACAACGTATAAGATAAAGAATATTTGAAAGAGAAGCTGAGCCTGTAAGACTAGTTTACAGTGTCATGCAAAGTTGTGACAGATAGATGTATAATAAATATATGATACCTATGTAGAATCAAAACATTCTGTCAAATTTAGTGTTATGACAAGCTGATTTTTCTGAAAAAATCTTTTGTGAAGTAAGAAATCATACAACTTTTGAAAAGCACTGGGAAGAGAATGACTGTAACTCACAACTGTAACTGGGGTTAGAATGCTGAGAGAAGTTACGAGCAGCTACAGAACATTCTTATTCTTTGCACCAGAGAAGGAAATGTTTGATGATTCTCCCGTCCTCATCCCCGGTCCACACTTCAGCGCCCCCACTGCTCCGTCACCTTGTACCTGAGAGCTCTGTGCTAAGGCCATATCTGGAGCAGGCAGGAGAAAGAAGAAAGGAGTAGGGCAGCATCCAATAAAGCACCCGGTGTGCTCATCCTTGTACGGCTGGTATTTCCAGCATCCTATCCAGGCACAGCACAAAGGATACCAGTAGTCGGATAAGGAGGAGAAAAAGGGCACCCAAGGCAGAGAAACTCTGAAGAAAACTGAGAAAACAAAAAACTGCAATAAGGGGCCAAGAAAAAAAAGGTAGTGAAGTATGATCAAAGTAAAAAGAAAAATATCACACACAGGAAAATTAAGAAATAACAAAGTCATCCCAAAGCCATACTCATCTTACTGTTCTTAAAGTGAACCAAGAAAAAACTTACCATTTGGAAATTAGGAGAGACTTGGTTCCATTTTAAGTGGTAGAGCTTGCAAGATTCTTATTTTTACTCACTTTAAAATCAAAGTCAGTTTCTTCTTTTTTTCCCTTAACTTTCTACTCCACATTTTTTCTATGACAACCTATGTGACCCCTCCCACACCTAACTTTTAGAGAAAATTGGGATATATTAGCCTAATCCAGGAACCATGGCAAATCCACTGCCTCAAAAGTTGTGAAGGAAAATACATAGAAAGATTTTTAGTCTTAAGTGAAGGATATCCTTCACAGTAAAAATCTGGAAGTCTTCATAACACATAACCTTTACAGTGTGGCTAACACATACAAATGTGAAGAAATACAGTACTAACAAATATCCCCTCTTCCTTTGCACTAATTTTCTCCCACTAAGGAAGTCAAGAAACTATGTAAACAAATTTAGTGTTTACCAGTCATAAAATTTCCACTTCACCAATGTCATATTAAGTATATAAATACAAACATTTTCCAAGATTAATTTCTTCCTTCAAATGTATTTCTGAATATAAAAAAAATTTTTTTGAGGTACAAGATTCCATTTTCCCACCAATTAAAAATTTTCCAAGTTTTATATCAACAGAGAAAGAAGCTGAATATATACCTAGTTGTCTACCACTAATCTGGTTTTCAACCTCTTTTTCCTGCCATATTTATATCTGTTAATATATTTTTTAATTAACATGCAATGAAATTTTTTGGTATACAGTTGTTTTGATAAATGCATATTTGTGTAACACCACCAGATTTATTTTAAAATAAGTTTTCAATATCCACACCCAAGCAAGATATGAAAACTGCTTAATCAATTCCTACCTTGAGTCAGTATGCAACAACAGTCCCTACAAATGAAAACCATAACACAACAACCAGAATACTAAAAATGGAAAAGCCAATCCTTGAAAGGAGTCAAAAAACAGAAATAAAAGCTATGATGTATTAGATTTCTTTCTCCTAGAAGTCCTTTTTTTAAATGAGAAAATGAAAATGATAATGCAAAAGGTGCTCATTTATTTACTTCTAAACAAAATGTTAATAATAAAAATCAGTTTATTAAAAAGAAACTTTCCTATTAAAGCTTTGGATTTCATTGGCTGACAGTAATATAAGGTTCAAAATATTACCCGTGATTTCTCTCCAAATCTCATTAAAGAACAAAAAGAAAAGCCAATATTTTACTTTGTATCTTAGGGATTTAACCCACGTCTCCATCCTGCTTTGAGGCATCTTTGAATTTAGGAATTTCAGAGCAGTACCTAAATACCTACCGAGTAATTAGATAGCAAATATTGAAACTCATTTTACAGACAAACTAAATTATGCTAAGCTCTACTAAACTGAGAGCCATTCATCTTATCTTGGAAAAATGCTGACTAAAAAGGGCTCATTTTTTTTTTAAATCACTTCTCAGAATATTTCTTCTTTTTCTCAGGTAGTATACTGTATTCTATTTTAGTATGAGATTCACTAATAATGCTTTCTTAAAACTTGGTAAGGGTCTAGTTAACAACTATTCAATTGAGGTAGGGGACATAAGGATATTTTATTTAGTATTTGAATTTTCTGCACATTTGAAAATTTTCACAATAAAAAGTTGGGAAGAGGGGAGTCAATTATAAGAAAACCATAGCGAGCTAAAAAAGTAAAACACCAGAAACATTAACTAAGTAAGAAGTTTCATGAAGAACTTACCTGCTATAGTGTTTTCTTTTATAAAATAATATGTATTAGTCACATTTACAAAGATATTGTTACTCTAAGATTTAATAAATGCCTTATAAAAAGGATGCAGATAGTCAACACTATGTTGAAGAGGTTACCCATGCAAATTAGCTTTTGTGTCTTTCTTTAATTATGAAAGTAATGTTATTGTACCCACTTTTCCCACCTATTCTATCACATGCATTTCCCCCATCACTGTATTGTCCTAAAACACAGTCTGTCCTATGGATGTGCTCTTAACTAGTCTTCACGCAGTTACTGAATTTACAACAGAATACCTGAATACCTGAGTCTGATGACTAGTTCTGCACTTACAGAATAAGAGTTTTCACAGTACCTACGTCATAATGTTGGAAAGACTCGGTAGTGTGTGACATTTCTGTAAACTGCTAAACTTATAGAAATGTAAGGTGCTTTAATTACATGTGTACAAACATCATCTAACTGTAAATACAGAAAAGTTTTATGTTAGAGCATGATTTTATTAACCAAAAAAGGTCCAAGAGTTGGACTCTTTGAACTGTAATCTCAAGGGAAGGCAAAGCAAGTGTTACAGGGGACAGCAGCACCAGGCCCTCCCTTGGAAACGGGCATATCTGAACAGAAGCTGGGCAGATGCAGGGTGGGTGACCAACCTACCAGTAACGTACAGATGAAAAGGAAAACCTGGTTTTACAGAAGGACTTGTCAGGGGGGTTGAGACAATCAGCTTGTGCAAAAAAGATAGTATTTTTAGGGAAGGAGAGGAGAGCCTGAAGAAATGTTTCATATTGTCCAAGGCATATTTACAAATCAGCTAACAGCTCCATGAAATTCTACCATAGGGAGTGACTATGTAAATGAAATTGTGTTTTTAAAATACTATTACACAAAGTCTGGAGTCAGATGACTCAAGCGCTAGCAGTGTGGCAGGGAGAAGGAAAAAACCTGTGGAAAAAAATGCTGAGGACCATCTTTCTTCACAGTATAAATATGTGGCTTGTAATACATTTCAAATAGTTGCCACATAAAGAATTTATAAATATGGAATCCACTTTTCTGAACTGAGGAAATATAAAGGAACAAAGACCACCCATAAGGGTGGGAATACATACATTTCTACATATAGTTCAATTTCGATAGGTTCTGGGCCTCAAGAAATGGGGAGTCTTTTTTAAGTAAGCAAAAGTATTGCAGTTTACCTCTGGCCCCCACAAGCAGGTGTATTCGTCAGGGTTACTATTTCTCAGGGCAAAGCAATCGGGTTTTCCACCTTGTGGCTGACAGGAGGCAACCACTGCAAAGAAAGAACAAAGAGGCTATTATGCATTTGTGTGCACAGGTTCCTGCTGCTTCACTTCCAGTTTTTTCAGTCGTCCCCATAAATACGGCCAGCCTGCCAGGACCTGGTGCGAGCCAGGCGTGTGGGAGAGGCTGGGGATCTTCGAACCAGGAGCTCCTAGGCCAGCGGCCGTCCCCGGGCGCCCCGAGGCCCCAGGCTCCGGGCCAGGCGGTGGTGGCATCCGTCTCCTCGGCCACAGTCCGACACGGGCGGAGGCCCCGGGCAGGTGCCTGAGGCTCAGCCTGGGCTCTTCGCCCGCGCCCCCCCTGAGAGGGCCCAGCGGTCGGGACTTACCCCGGGGCTCCGGTCTTGGCGACCGCGTGTTACCCACCGGGCACAGCGGCAAAATGGACTCGCGGTCCCAGCCGGGGCCCGCGCCTTCGCAGTTTCCTGGCGCCTCGGTCGGCCTCCCCGCCGTGCCTCGCCTTTACCCGAGGGAGGGAAGCGGGGTCCTCTCGGGGTCCCCCGCCGCGCGCAGCCACCGCCAGCGGCGCACCCAGAGAAACGGAGGGCCCGCGGCCCGGCTGCCCTCCCAGCCAGCGGGGCGGTGGGCGAGCGAGGACGCGGGAACCGGGGGGGCGGGGTCACAGGCAGGGGCGGGGCCGGCGGCGGCGGAGCCCCCTCTGGAAGAACCGGCGCTCTGCGACACGGTTGGGTTTGGATTGTTGTACTTTTTTTTTTGTTCGTTGCATTTCTAGGAACAAAAAAAAAAGCCCAACCCTTCACGCCACTTCACCGGCATCTCAGGACCCGGAGCCCGGCCGCGGCGGCTTAGGGTGGGGCCCACGCGCGCCCCACACGCAGGCGGCGGCGCGCGCCCTCCCGGGGCACACCTGTCCGGGCGGGCTTGCTTGAGTCCTCGGCGCCGTGCTGGCGGAGGCTTTCCTTTAGCAGCAGAGCGCTTCCCGCGGGAGAGAAGCGAGGGCTTGGGCTGGCTTCGCTGGCCCGACCCGGCAGCTCTCCGGCCGCAGGCCCCGCAGAGCCCCGGAAGAGGGCGCCCCCAGGCCTCATGCGGCGCGGAGGTCAGGCCCCGAGGCGCCGGGTGCGCCCCGGGTTCTGGTTCGCCGAGGGGGGAATTCTCGTGGCCCGCGGGGGTGACCATGGGCCCGAGTCTGGCCGGCTCCGCTCGCTGCGAGGTGTCGGGTTTTCACGCCCGGTCACCGAGCCCAGTAGCTTGCCTCGCGGGGCTCGGGCCCAGTGTCCGCACGCGGCGGGGAAAATGCCAGCCTCGCCCTAGAGACGCGGGAACGGGTGTCGCGGCTCTAACGCAGGGCAGCAGCGGGGCTGGGCCGGTTGGGGTCCAGGAGAACCTGCTCAGCGACGGCAAGGCGCACCCAGCCTCCACCGAATGAGCGTTACTAAGAAGCCTCAATTACAGAAGCATGTTAAATACTCTGAGATTAACATGACTCACGACTGGGAACTGGGTTATAAGCTCATACATCACAAGCCATCCCTAATATATATAATACAGTTAGATCCGGCTGGTGGTAAATACTAATGAATGAAATTCAGCCCAACTAAATGTAAAGCACCAGTTAAATCTGCATAGAGATCACTAGACGGTTTAAAAAATCATTAAGAGCCCATTGCATATTAAACTCCCTTAGGTGTAAAATAACAGGAACGGAACGTAGCTGCTCTTCTCCCATGGCCCTTATCAGCTATCGTAGAAAAAGAGCACCTGTCCGATGAAAACTCCGTGCCCGGCTGCATCGTTCCCGGAAGAGCAGGTGGCTGGACCTGGTCAGAGGTGACACTGAGGGGCTGTCACAAACGTTCCCCCGGAAGAACTAGAACCAGACCCTGTGGGAGAGCGGGGGTGGGGGGGAGCGTCCCCATCCGGGCCTCCCTGGAGACCCTTCTGTCCACTGCTCTTCAGGTAAGTGAACTGCAGGAAATCTTCATGTCATCTCAGCAATAAGAGCAGTCTACAGTCTCACTGAAGTTTCTTTTGTGATATACTTCTCTACACGTAGAATTCCAACGTATATGTGAAACATTGTTGTGTTGATTTATTTCATGCCGTTGTTTTTGTTCTGGGCCTTGACAAAAGTAAAAATTGCCGGCGTTCTTTCCACCTATCAAGACATGTTCCGTAACAGAAGGTGCAGTGCCACATTTGGGGTGTCCGTTGGTGTGTACATTGACATGAAAGTAGTCAGAATTCTAGTACCTAACAACCAAGTCTGGAGCTATCTGTGCCGGGAGCGGGGTGTTGCGGGCCTCCTCGGACACACTGGCTCACTTTATTATTTGCTGCTCCTCCTCAGTCACCACTGCCCAGCACGGCCTGTCAAGAGGTCCTAGCAGGCAGTGGCTCTGACACTGCACAGTGTGCGGGAAGAGCAGAGGCGCCGGAATCTGCTGGGCATCCGAACGCTAGCTCTGCCAACTGACTGACTAGGTGTCCAAGTTACCTAGCTTCTCTAAGCCTGTTTTCTCTTATACAAAAGGGTACCATGATCACTTGATTCTGATAATTAGGTAATGTATAAAGCAGCAGACATCGTATCTGACATAGGAGGTGCTTAATAGTTGCTACTATTACATGGAAGAAGAAAACATGCTGGTTTTGGATTAGTTGCGTTGGATTTGTGAATCTGAGGCCCAATCACCATAGTCTCCAGCAGCACTAAACTGTACGGTTCTGCACGCAGCCCAGGGCGGCCTTTTAAAGCATGTATCCTTCCACTTCTATAACTCCTTCCCTGTGCTGAGGGTAAGCAGAGAAAAAGGGGAAAACATCATACCCAATGAAAGGAAGACTTTGCAGTTATTTTTAAAGCTCTACAATTCAAGATAAATTGATCCAAAACGTTCCACCGAAAGAGAAGAACATCTACTTTTAAAAATACATTTATCACAAAAGACAGGAACTTAGCTAAGACTTTAAATTAATTGGTCCCTGGTTTGAAGAAAATTCCAGATTCTATATGTTTCATTTGCACAGTGAAGATCATTAAATGGAGCAAATAGCAAAATCAATTAGCTTTGGAAGAGAATGACAGATGCTTCAGCAACAGTAAATTTGGCCTTTACTTGTGCTGTTTGTATAGATGGAAAGAAAAATTGTAAGAATACAGCAAAATGTCAGAGGTAACTAAGATGGTGGTAGCATATGCTTATATACTTTGTGCCAGGCATCAATGACACTTCAAGGAATTTACCATTTGGTCGAAGAGACAAGTCTTAAAAACTTGAGCTAGTTCAGTCAAAGTACGTTAACAGTGGCTGTGTTGACAACCTACTGCCTACGTGAGTGATGACAACATCAGAGGAAGGCATCAGAAGCATTGGGCAAAACTTCAGAAACTTTAAAGATCATAGGATTTGAAGATGAGAAAGAGGCAGAACACTGGACGTAAGGAACAAGCTCAGGGTGAGAATGAACTTCACTGAAACTAAACCACTGAAGAGCCTGACTTGGAAATAGAGGCCAAATTAATGGTGGGATGTTTTAAATATCAGAATAAAGAGGTGAACTTCATTCTGTAAGAAATGGGAAGCCACTGAATAATCATGTATGTGACACTTAAGAGGAAAGCAAGAGTTTTAGGAAGATTAATCTGATATCAGGGTCCAAGATTTAAGAGAGGAGAAATTTCCTTTATCTTAAACTGTTGTGGTTTGTTATTGGAAATTATAAAACAGATTTGTAATGAAATAATGTACATAAAAGTATAGCATATATAGTTAAGTTCTAATGAACTATTTACTATCAAATAGTTATTTATTAAACTTCGCAGTCTGTAAATGAAATGTAATGTAGCAAGAATTAATCATGACATATATTGTCCTAAAATCAACAAAGAGGAAATTGTGTGTATGTGTGTATATATATGTATATAAATGACACATTTTATCTTACTGTCATGATCTTAACCATATTGTATGACTGAAGTTAACATGTTGCTTAGTTACATTTTAGATTATGCCTTGCTAGAACTTTAAAAATCATGACACACATGCACACACACACATATATACACACTCTGAAAGGTAGTACTGTTTTGTCATTTTAACAATGAGTAATTACATTCAGTTATGTCAAGTGCTTTTCTAAACATTATTCTCATATATGTAGAATTTTATTCTTGATGAAGAGTAACTCTGAGGGCCTTAAAAAATTATTCATTCAGGTAAAGACTAATAAATATTGTCTATTTGCAATTTAAGAGAACCTAATATATAGAAACTATTTTGGAATCTTTCTGTTGCATTCACTATGCATTATGTGCTCTATTTTTACCTTGAGAATTGTTAGTTATGATAATAAACTCTTTTTTCAATTTAGAAAACTACTTTCATCCAGTTCCATGGGATATTTTTTAGGAATATTTCTTCTACAAATAAATGTACAACAGGGATGCAGGTCCTGTGGTTTTCAATAGCTGGTAGATTCCTGTACTGTTAATACACACTTTATCTTAAAAAGACAACAGTACATCTCATAGAACTTCGGTTCTGAAGATCTAGATTCATACAGCATTGCTGAAGAAACGTGTGCTTTGTGTTTTTTAACATGAGCCTGGTCGAGTCTGATATCAAAGGATGTGGTAATAAATGCCTTGTGAAAAATGTGTTACCTTAAAATGGTCTTGTTTACAGCACCATGATGGTTGTTGTGAGAATGGGGTGGGATCTCCAGCACTTTGTGCTGGATCTAAAGCAGCTCTACCCTCCCATGCCGACAGAAGGCACAGGCAGTGAAGACAATGTGTGAGACCCCTTATACAATGTCAGCGCAGTTTAAGCATTTCTGAAGGCTCTTGACCTCTGTGCTGTGAAATTCAAAGGCCATTTTTCATGCTCTCCTTGCAGCCCTTCACTGTCTCCTCCTTAAGAAGACCTCTTTCCCTGGCCTTAAGTAACATCACCCTAAGTGCTGCCTTTTCTTTTCCAGCCCAGGGCTTCTATGTTCACCGAATCTCCAGGAAAGCAAGGATTGCACACTGAGTCTGTAGTAACCTCATTTTTAATTGATGAAAACTGAATTTAAATACTTTAACAGAGAAATGCTCCTCACTGCAGGCGTTTGACTTGGTCCTCACCTTGCCCCTGCCCCCCAAGCCTTCTTCCTGCTGCAGGTCCCTAGCACTAATGCACCCCCTTACCAGCCACCAGACTCCACCTCTCCAACCCCATTCCCCAGCAGCTGACACCCTAGGGTAGCTTTCAAAATGCTCCACGCCAAGGACAGATCCCTCTTAATAATCTCACACCATCCTGGTCTTCCTGTGTCACACACAGAGCAATGTGTTATTGTATGTTTATTTGTATAATTATTGGAATAATGTTTGTCTCCCCACTTGATGGTAAAGTCCATAAGACCAGGGATTATGTGTGTGTGCATGTACATGTGTGTGTCTGTTTTCTCGTCATTGCATTCCTAGCATCTAACCCAGTGATAAATTTTTGCATGAATATTTTATGGAAGGAAGAGTTCTCTCAGAGGTTATTGCTGTATGTGAAATTTTTAAAAAAAATTAGCTGTTGAAACCAGCTGAAATGGTAATGTACTCTGAATCTGACTCTCTTAAAATAGTCATTTCCAAATATCTTATTTTCTCAAAACAATATCTTCCCCCACTGTTTGCAAAGCAGTTTTTCAGGCTCTTCTCTGTAGTTCACATCTCTTACACAGCATAGCTCATCCCTTAAAATGAGGATAGTCTATTTAATAGTCCATCAGAGAATTGTCATTAAAAATTGAGAACTTTCTTTCTAAGGATAAAAATTAAGCAATATGCCATAAAAAAGACTTAATGAATGACTCAATGAAAATGTCAAAGTCTGTGTTAGAAAAACAATATACTCATAAAGGTATACAACTATCGAAGAAAAAATAAAGCTGTATATGTTAACAAGATATTTATAAGCTATAGTAAATGAAAAATAAAATCAAAATCAATACATGTATAATGATTCCAATGTTGAAAAGAAATGTAATTGGTAGAATATGGAT